GGATGTCCACTCATTCATGATGCAGGAAATGAGGGTCCGGTACGTCACTACAAAGCGCGTTTTGATGTCAATGTACATCCCTCCACGGAGCCAGTGCTCTGTGTACCGCCAGACGTCAGCGCGGTGCGCTGCGTTGGTCAGTGAATGGTAAAGGCAGTGCCCTACCATGCCAGACAGCTCCTTCATGATCTCGACCTGCTTGGCGTCATCAAAGAATTCCCTCGGAATGTTTGGGAAGCATTCCTCCATCATCTCGTGAGGACCAGGTTGTGAGTCGTGCACGTAGGTCTGGAAGACTCGAAGAGGAGGTTGAGCTGTCAGGTAGTGGCCGCCTAGCGCGTAGACTATCGCGGCGCTTTCTCCTGCATGTTGGGCCGCCTCAGCAAGCAGTGCACTGAGAGTGTCTGCCCGAGTCAGTGCACGGGTGGCCAGCATTTCCTTGTGCACTGTGTTCTTCACGGTATTCCAGGAGCAGCATAGCAGGACGTGAATGCTGGGGCGTGCTCCTGGTTGGGGGGTCGTCTTCGCATCCATTTCTTGGAGGGCCGCTGCCACCACTTGGCAGATTGCCTCCTGCGCTATTTCCGGCCGAAAGTGCACTGATCTGGTGGTGTAGAGCTGGAAGTTGTCGTTGTCGAGGTCCATGATGTGGAACGGGACCTCGTGGGAGCGCAGCTGGAAGTCTGTGCGATACTGCCCAATCCAGTCGTAGTTTGCCTGCTTTTCCGGTCGGAGGGATCTTTCGAGCGGTATCAGGCCGATGTTAACCCGATGGTTTTGGTGCTTGTTCAGGAAGGCCGCCAGTCCCTCACAGGCTGCTTTGTTGTCCCCCTCCGACATCATGAAGACCTTGGGAAGTCGGATGGATCCGTCCGGATATGCCGATTTTACCAAGGTCTGTCCTGCCGCTGTCACCAGGGCTTCCAAGATGCTGGGGCAAGTCTTGCCTTGCCATGTGCAGCGCGAGGTCAGGGTGGCCCCCGGACATATGACAGCGTAGCCCGAAGCAAGGGTCCTCACGCCATAGCTCTGGTGCAACTTGGTCTGGTTGTTGTAGAGGAGGTGCTGAAAGGTGCTGTCCACCAAACACAGCACTGGCGTTGGAGACGGGGCCCTTGGCGCGGCTGCCATGGCTGGGCGGGCTAGGCTCTGTCTCAGTCTGTCTCAGTCCAGAGCGATCCTATGGGAGAAGCAGTGCCGCTACGTGAATTAGTTGCAAAGAGTTGCTTAAATGAGATGTGAGCTAGTCGTAAGTGCTTTGAGCTGGAGGGCTATGATGTGCTCCACGCAGGGTGTCCGCAGCAAGCTTGTGGCCCTGCAGGGGAAGAGCTGGGCAGCTGGTCAGTTGTGGCTCAGCGGCTGTGGGGAAGATTTTTACGCATCCTTGAAGTATTAGCTTCCGGTGCTGCCGTGGTTGGCAGGAATGAATGCTCTTACGGGAAAAGGTGAAAGGTGAGATTCGTGAGCTGTGTCAGCGGCTTGGTAGGTCAGCTGTCTGGTCTGTACAGGTACTTGATGTACGGCTGCAGTGCAGTCTGTACTTTGGTCTGGACAGTGTCCCGTGAACGGCTAAGCAGTGCTTGCCCTTTCCTGCGCGAACGAATTTGGGAGCTGCTCAGCGCGACACCTGCGAGTAGGCGAACACCGCCCATTGTAGAATGCGACGCTGTTCAGGTGGCAGCGCCGCCAGCCAGGTGCTGAGGATGACCATGTCGGCGTTGCTCATCATCATGGAGCCGGTGTGCGTCGGTAGTAGTGGAAGAGGTGGAAGCTCAAGTTCTGGTGTGCCTGGCGCTGGAGGTGAGCTTGCGCTCGCGTCCGCCGGTGGAGGAGGAGGATCAGCCCAGATGCCTTGTCCTCTTGACATCAACAAGTGCTCGTAGTCGAATTGGGCTGGAGCGTCTCTAACCCTCTTCTGTCCTCCTGTATTGGAGGGCACCGGGCTGGCCGTCGTTGCTGGTGGTGGGCCCGTTTCCAACACAAGGCGGCCGTTGCTGTTCCCGTACATTTTGTACGGGTAGACTGTCTGGTTGACCTTCAGGTAGGACTTGCCGGTTGTCTTCAGGTCACACATGAGGGTCCATCTGGCGGAAATAGCCGTGCGCTCCCAGCTGCCCGTGCCCTTGTTCTTGGAAGACTGAGCCTCCTCTACCATCCTGCCGTTGGCATTGCCGTAGAAATTGCTTCTGAGGCACTCCTGGGGAGTACGTTCAGCGTCTGTCATGGGGGGTTGGATCGTAAGCGTTGAGGTGACCGGGTTGCCGTCCTTGTCCCACAGGCTGACCTTGAGGACCAGCATGAGATTCTTAGCGCTTTTCAGCCAGGATCCCGATGGCCACATGGAGGTGGGGTGTGCCGGGGGTGTCTCCGCCTTTGCCTGGGTAACCCACCGTCGCATGTCATCAGCAATTTCACTGGAGATCGCTCCCGTGGGTATGTCGGCTCCCATGGTAGCCACTGGACCTGTAGTGTAGTGGAGGAGAAGCGGGAAGATTTGCTTGCTGAGCGTCAGCGAGAGGCGGTAGAGGTCGCCCTTGCCCATGTGGTATTGCGACTTGTCCACCCTTGGCGGCCGGTGAAGGTCTCCTCCTCTGACTTGCGCCCCGTACCCTTCCTGTATTGAGTAAAGGGCCTCTGCCGCATTGTCGCCCAAGTCAATGAGGACCCACTGTGGGCTGGTGTGGCTTATTGACTGCGACGACATGATGTTGCCCAGGTGAATGTCCGCATGGATGATGCCGTGCTGGTGTAGCACTGAGAGGGCGCACTGCATGTCCTCAGCGATGGTGTCGAAGAGCTCTTTCATGTGCCTCTGGTCCATTTTGTCGTACCATTGATGCTCCTCCGCCTGGAGTGGGTTTGGCAGGTATACCGGAGTGCCGTCTTCATTCCATGCTGAAAAGGGGATTCGGGCAGGAGGACAGTGTCCTGGTGCCTCATCCTTGTCCCCCTCAGCAGTGCTGGGGATAGTCTGCAAGGTGGTTGTCGATCCTGCTCGGGCTTTTTTCCGGTAGAGGTGCTGCTTGATGCCTTCCTCAACTGTGTACAATGTGAGCATGACCGCAGCGCCGATTTCAGTGTGCAGGATGGTCTGAAAGAGGGGGATCGTCGGGAGACGCCGTAGGCGGTGAATTTCTTTTTGCATCTCGGCCTCCCGATTCTGTTTTGCACGCTTGACGACCAGTCGATGTCCCTCCGGGGTCGGGTAGGCCAGCGTGGTCACGAACGCACTGTTGCCATGGCCAATTTGCTGGCCCATAGGCTCCGTAAGTGCCCTGGCGATGGAGCTTTTGTGCAGGGCAGTGATCCTGCCCAGCATTTCCTCGTGCAGCTGGAATTGCTTGCTGCGTTGCTCAGCTCCCGCCATGGCCATTGCTGGCTGCAAAAGAGCTGAAGAGGAATGTGCCTGCCGCTGTGACCGGACTTTTGAACATGATCTGCCACAGTAATCGCAGGAGAGAAGTAGAAAGAGGAGAGAGAAAGAAAGGTAGGAGGCAGAGGTGAGTGGCAGCAAATGTCTTACTAAGATCATGGGTCAGTGTTCTCTCGCTCTCTTTTTGACTCGTTTTCTTCGAAATGTGCCAGGCTTAAAAATCAGTTGCCTCGGTCTTGCTGCGTGAGCCAAATTAAAGAGGAACGCTCCGGTGCCTCACACAGTGTGTGTTAGCGAGCTCGGCAGTGCCGCGACTCTCACTTGTCAATTGCTTATTTCGGTCGCCAGTGCGTTGTCGGCTGCTTCTTGGACCGCGCTTTCGGAGGAGAAGGCGGCTTCCGTGTCGGGCGTGTCAGCTGGGGGCCAGTGGCGTCCGATGTCGACTTGGTCTTTGTGGAGCTGGATTGCTTGTCGTCGACGCTTTCCAGGCTGGAAGTGGCTTGCTTAGCTGCTTGCTCAGCTTCTCGTTTGTGAGCTGCAACGTTCTGATGAAAGAGGCGCAAGTAGTACTCGTACTTTTCCGGAGGGAATTGGTTGTCGTCCACAATGAAGGGCATGACACGTTGTAGCGTTGGCAGGGTATACCGGGCTGTTTGCACCCCTACTGTCCGTATACGTTCATGCTCGATTCCCAATACTGATAAGGAAAAGATATCCATCATTCAGACACGAATATCCAAATGTATCAGTAGAAAATGGGTTCCCCGAAAAGATCAATCCTTCACTCCTTTTATTCAACACGAGTCGAACTGGCGAGTAAACCAAATCGGTGCCGACCCGAAGGCAACGGGGATCGACGACGGACACAGCCCGAAACAGCGGTCCCGGGCAATCCGAAAGGTCGAACCCAAACCCGAAACGGGGTCGAAAGCACACCGACAGAGCACACACACAACCGCCAAGGCAGGTGCAAGGGGATGGTGGTGGGTAAGACAAAATGCGAGGTCGAGACCTGCCGGTCCCAATCGAGCAAGAAACTGCCGGACCAAAAAGATTGGAAAACATGCCAAGCAAAATGTGGAATCCTCAAGAGAAAATCTTCATGTCATGCATCGCAAGAAATTCTCAAGAGGAAAACAAAAGCTAGGCATGCCGGCCGGGCAGGGCGGGGGGGGCAAACACCCTGGTTTAAAACCGTGTCCGTTTGCACCCCTACTGTCCGTATACGTTCATGCTCGATTCCCAATACTGATAAGGAAAAGATATCCATCATTCAGACACGAATATCCAAATGTATCAGTAGAAAATGGGTTCCCCGAAAAGATCAATCCTTCACTCCTTTTATTCAACACGAGTCGAACTGGCGAGTAAACCAAATCGGTGCCGACCCGAAGGCAACGGGGATCGACGACGGACACAGCCCGAAACAGCGGTCCCGGGCAATCCGAAAGGTCGAACCCAAACCCGAAACGGGGTCGAAAGCACACCGACAAAGAAATCGTTTCACGACCCGCCAGGGGAAGACCCCGAAGAAAGGAAGAAGGAAAAAATCGGGAAACCCAATGCACGGACTCCCAGGTCCGAATGAAAGGCACTCTTTTCAATCACCCGCAAGATCTGGATCAGACTACGCAAGCTGCTCGAGGTAGGATGGCCAGCGAGCAGATGCAGGCGGAGGGCCCAGCCGGAGCCGAGTGGGGGCACGCAGCAGCTCTGCGAGTGGTGGAGCACAGCGGTCTTCCAGCGCCAAAGGAGGAGTCGAAGTGCCGAGGCGGCTCAGCTCGTCGGCCAGCACATTGCGGTAACCCGGGATATGTTCTGGAGCAGCTCGAATATTGAAGCTTTGCTCGCACGCATAGAACCTGCGAAGAACCCAGGCAAGGGAACGAACAGACGACAACCCTTTGTGAGCAGCTGCTTCTGCTGCCGAATTATCGCAGCGCAGCGCCACCTCTAGTGCCGTACGGCACCCAGGAAGCGCAGCATGAGTGACCCACAAGAGACAAAGCTGAGCCAGCAATTCTAAGGCGGCAATATGCGATTGCAAAGGTGCAGGCATGACATCGCACAATCGCGCCACATCCTCAGCAGTCAAGGTGACACTAAACCAGGAGCATTTCCCGGAAGGCCAAGAGATGTACCCGCCGAGGCCGCACAGGGACGCATCAGCAAATGCGTCAGCTTCGGCAATGAGCAGAAGTGGTGTCGGGCGCAGCAGTGAGCAGGATAGGGGTGCACTTTCGAGTGCCATCACCCAAGCATGGATTGCTTCGCGAGCCGGCTCATCAACCACACGGTAGGGATGATCGGCATCTTGCACGGTAACCCAGAGGCGGTGCTTGCGAAACGGCGTATCCAGGAGCTGCTGCTTGGACGTGACGAAAGTGTTAGCGACGCGGATCACCCGCGCCGACTTCGGGAGGGACGCGTGGCCAGTGGACTGCCGGATGACACACTCGTCGTCGCAAGCAGCCAAGAGCCGATCCCAGAGTGCAGGTGACACCGCAATGGAGGTGGATGGCAACTGGGTCAGGACCTTGTACACCGGTGAGAGAAGAGGTCGCATCCAGACCAGCAGGCCAGAGAGCCACAGCAACCGACCTAACGCTGACTCGAGGTCACGCACCCGAATGCGTTTGCAAGAAAGCAGGGATCGCAGCTGGTCAAGGATGCGGGCACGTTTCTCCCACGGAAGCTCGGCAGTCCAAACATCGAAGCGAAGATCCCAGCCAATCCAACGAATCGACTCGCCCCAGGTGCACTTGTTCCAACTCAGTGGAACCCCCAGCGACATGAAGAGAACGAGCCAGAGGCTGGCATGGAGTGGTGCTGTAGAAGAGCGGAATGCCGCCAAAAAATCGTCGACATAATCCCACATCAAGTGAGGAAGACGTATGACCGCATGCGAAAGACGCATGAGCATACCGGCTATTCGACCCCACCAGAAAGCCGATGCCCTGGCTCCAAAATTCAGGTTGTTGGAGATAAAGAAGCGTCCCAGAAACGAAAAAGCGACGAGAGCGCGATCCGCCCAGGCCAGCAGAACCCGCCGGTGCGCTTTGCGAACGTCCAGAGAGACCCCCACCCACGGCTCAGAAGGAACCTGCTCTGGGGCGCAAGCAGCGATGTCGCAGAGCCGCGGATTCAGCATGTGATTCGGGATCTGGCAAGAGCCCGTAACCCCACTAATCGAACTATCAACCACCAAGCGTGCCGAGCGGCCCTCGGCCTGGACAAACCCTAACTTACCGCAGGCGACCTGCGGAAAGGTGGCCTGGATGGCCTGCAACGAGGGGTACTCGGAAATCCAGCCTTCTGCCAGCTCTTCCTCGAGCATCTGCAAGACCTCTTGGGGATGATCAGACGCAGACTTCCAGGATCCGTCGCAGATCACCAGTTCCGAAAGAGGATGCACCTCATCCCGCTTGGGCCAGTGAACCGAAGGTTCGAGCAAGCAATCGACTTCCAGACGGACGCCGGAAGCCAAGTCCGGGCAGACGCGGGCCTCCGGGTCCTGGCAGCACTCCAGGAGACGTTGCAGGAGATGCAGACGAAAAGGCTGGCCCTGCGGAACCTCCAAGATAGCTGGGCGCTCCGACGTGGGAACCTCGAGGAAATCGCACAGATCATCCAAGAACGGCGCAAGCTCAGCCGGAGAGATGGGAGCTGCATCACAGCCTGCCCGCAAAGCAGCTGAAATTTTTAGGCAAAGGCCAGAATCAAAAAGCCTTTGCGTCCAGTTCAAACGGAGACTCCGAAGGTAGTCAGGGCCGGATGGAGACAACCAGGCCGCCGTGCTACGAAGACCGCCGCCATCTTCCACCCGCATACGCGGCTGTGTCCAAACAGGCGCCGCCGGAAGCACCGAACGCCATGCATCCAGAGGAACCACCCGATCAGAGCGGGTCACAAAGCGACTGGCGAGTGAAGCCAGGGACTGAGCCAAGTCCGGAGGGTATTCTGCCGTCAAGCGTGAAGCAAAGGATCCATCAGCCAAGCGGCCCCGTGGCAAGGGCTCATGCGAGGAGTGCCCGTGATCGCAAACGGACGCGATCTCCAAAATCTCGGCCCGGTTAGACACAAAGAGCCAGCGCTTTGCCCAAGGACGACCAACCTTGCAAGCGGCCACCTGGGCCGCGAACGGGGCGACCGATTGCAACCAAGCCTGCATGAGCGGGTCCTGAAAAGTCAATGAGGAGACTGGGTTTTCAAGAACTATGAAACCACCCGAAGCAGCTACACGGCTCAGGACCTCCCGAGTGCGGTCGTGCAATAGTGAACTCTCTTGGGCGGAGAGGCCGCCGACCATGAGTTGTGCAAGCAACCATCGATTTCAGAAGGAGTACGAACCGGTGGCGGTCCCGCAGGTTTGAGACGCAGAACCGAATGGTCAGAGCAGACCGGTGCCGCACAAGCTGCCCCGACAAGGCCGGAATCTGCAACCCGGCAAAGCAGCTCGAATCTGTCGTCGCGAAGGAGATCAAACTCAGTGGCGAAGATGATGTCAACAGGCTCGAAGCGGTCGGCCAGAAGCGTAGCCATTGCCTCCGAAAGCGGAGCACGAGCCCCAGCGAAGAGATCCAGGAACAAGCGTGGGGCAGATGGACCTGGGAAAGCCGGGCCATCCGAGCATGGCGAGGACGGGGAAGAGGCTGGGCCCTGACACGGCAGGGAGTTGCAGCCAGCCTCGACCCTGTGTTCGGGATCAGCAGATAGAGAGGGGCATGGGGATGAATCTGGCATTAGCGTCCACTGATGGGGAGCAAGTGGAAGATTATAAGGTTCCCGGGCAGACACCAAGGCCGTGTCGAAGGGGGTGGGAAGCCGGAAGCCGAGGTCACGGAGCTGAGGCGCCAGGTGCGCGATTTGATCAGGCTCTGCGACACAGACTTGCAGAGTGTAGGCAGCCACCACCACACGGCGGTCTTGTGCGGCAGCGACGGTGTGGAAACAGTCCCGGGCATTGAACACGACGGGGCCCTGAGAGGGAGAAAGGCGCCGAGCAGCAAGAGGACCACTGGGGCACTCAAGAACATCCGAACCGTCCTGGCACTCAATCAGCAGCTCACCGCCGCGGAAGCGACTGATGGGAAGGACAATGTTCGGGATGGCTGCGTTGAGGCGATCACGATGAGGAGCCGATTCTACCCCATCGATGATCACAAAACTGCTGTGCAGAAACGCGGGTGAGAGCATGGAGATAAAACGATTAACTAGTCTCACAGACTGAGGATGGGAGACTGTTGCAGGACGAAGATGTGCTCCCTTGCGAATCGCCAAGCCTGCAGAAACGGATTTGCCCACAGCAAACCTGGCGTCACGATCAGAGCACTCAGCCAACAGCAAGTCAGCAAGCTGCAAAATTGTAGAGGCGCAGGGTGCCTCTGCACGGAGAAAGAATTGGGAAGCGAAATCTTCAGCTGAACCAGGCAAGGGAGCCCCAACGTCGGGCAGGCAGACACCGGTCGGATTCCCGACCACAGCATCCAAGGGTGGCCCGAGAGCCCCGCTGACCCCCGAAGCCACCCCAACCTGTCAATGGGCTGCAGCACTGTGGGCACTGGCTGCATGGTCCGCGCCACATGGTGCACCATTGGCCATCAAGATGGGACACTTATGGGAGTAGCGGCAAGACTTGTTCTTGCACTTGGACGTGTGGAAGCGAATGCAGACCCCTTTCCCAGAGATCTCCCGAGCCCAATTGGTGGGCCAGCGAGACGGGGTCACCTTGTCCTTGGCAGCAGACGAGGGAGAGGATTTGTTCTTCTGGGCTTTGGCCTTTGGCTGCCGGTGCGACCCGTCACGACTGGCCGCACGTTTGCGTGAGGATCGCTCAGAAGCAGGTGCAGGAGTCAACGCCGCCTTCACCCGGGGTGCCAAGGCTGCATGCATATCGGGACGAATGTGCGTCATTTCGGCAATCGCATCAGCCAAAGACCAAGCGTTCTCCTGCTGCAAAGCGGAAACTCCAAGCCAAACCACGCGATCCGCTTCCATCACCTCCTGAAGGGAGGGGGAACGAAGACTCTTGTCGACTGGTTGCGCAACCGCCAACCCCACGAACTTCTCCATAAGCTTGCGAAGTGGAAGCAAGTGCACCGAATCCAGCAAAGCGAGGCCGTTGCACATGAGACCAAAGAAGCGACGTACAATCGGCTCCACTGGTCCTTGATGCGGGATCGGAGCCTGCAAATCATCGTCCGAAGACCCTTGGAGCAACGTCAGCAGCATGGCATTGTCGGTGCGAGGCTTGCGACGTTCGGTGAATGCCACAGCGTCTGCCTCGCTGGTGCGAGAGCGCCAGGGGACCCAGGGGAGCTGCTTGGCATCCAGCCCTTCCTTCAAGAGCATCAGAAAGGGAAGCGACGGTGTGAGCTCGGCTGTGAGGAGCTCGGAAGGGTACTTGGTCTGGAAGGCAGTCTTAAGTTGGGACACTTCGGCGGCAGACAGGCGTGTTGTCTTAGATGGCGACAACTGCTGTAGAGGAGATGTCGGATCCGGACTGCCAGACACACCAACCATGTCCTGACATGCCTTCACCACACGTCGCAGGCCTGAAGCAGCAGGGGAGAAAAGTGCTTCCCCGGGGATGTGGTTAGCCGGGCGGCCCAGAACGGCCAGGAGAAAGGGTTCGAGCGCATCAGGCTCGGGCAGTGCATGAGCAACCAGCGCAACGGTCGTATAACCCTTGCCCGTCAGTGCCTGTTGGACGTCATCTGGAGTGCCCCATTCCTTCATGGATGCGATGAGGTAGCTGGGGTCATCGACTCGAGCGCCTGCCATGACAGCTCCAAACGCCACAGGGCTAAAGACCCCGAACTAGCAAGAAACCCCCGACTGAGCCAATGCACGGGCGAATCGGCAGAGAAGCAGAGACAAAGCACGTGGCAAGTGTAATGAAGGTGACAACGCCTGGGCACGCTGCAGGGACAGGACGTGCATGTTCCACTTTAGCCCAACCTGTGCACGACTGCGAGCAGTCGGAAAATTTGAAACACCAGCTTGAGCACCTCAAGTCCTGCCGACCCACCGCGGGTGGGCCGCAGGGGGGTGCAAGAAGAAACACAAGCTTGCCCGAAAAACTGTTGCAAGGCAGAGGAATCCCGACAAGCGTGTCGAGCAGCCCTCATCTGTACGCCCGCAAAGGGACGAATCCCGAGTAGGGAGCAAGCAAGTGTTGCATAGTTGGAGCAGCAAAGACAAGCGTGTCTTCAGTCCAACCAGGCAGAGCCAGATAACGGAGCAAGGCAGAGGCGTGAAGTGGTTGGCACAACCATTACGCAGCCAAGGCTCTCTGGACAGATTGCTCACGGCAGCAGCCATGTTTCAAACAAAGCCGGCTACCTGCTGGTACTTCGGAGCAGCGCATCAGATGACCTTCGGCCAAGCAACCGCGAATCCCACAGCCTGTGCGGAGAGAAGGCTCCCCAGGCTGTGTCGGTCGAAACTGGCACGCTGGATGGCTAGAATCACAGGTCTTGGCTAGGTGCAGAACATGACTGACTGGGTTGAAAAGGAACTCAAACTCCTCTGCATCCTCTGCCGCCTGCCAAGCTGCACCAAGAGTCGGATCTGGAGAACTGGAAGAATTCGCCTCGTCCGAAGTAACCGCTGGGAGAGGTACACATGTAGAGGCGGGAGCACCATCCGGAGCGAACGAGACCAGGTCAAAGGTGCCAGAGGTCGAGGACGAAGCCGCTGCACGTACCAACCCAGATCCAGGATCATCGTCCGCAGAATCGCTCGAGGAGTCCACGTCCAACTCCGCTGGTGGTCTGGCACTCAAGGCCGGAATGTCACCACCTGGCTCGGCCGGGGCAAGGGCAGGCACGGTGAACGGCACATCAGGCAAGGGTGGCCTAGAGCCACGAGCGCTCGGACGTAAAGGGCGAAAGCCCGCCGCAACGGCTCGCACCACTTGCTGCTGCAACTCCAAGGGACCGGCGATGTCATCACGCCCATACAACTCTGGCATCGCCCCGGAACCGGAGCGATGATGACCTTGCTGACGACGAAGATTCTCATCGAGCAGCAGCTGTTTCGCCACGGACAGGAGTGTGACCTTAAGAGAGTGGACCCCGATAAGGTCCAAATCTGGACGCTTCTCGGCCGGCGTGGAAGAGTAGCAATCCCGAAGCAAAGACCGCAGGAGCAGAATACCCCTGTGTCGAGAGAGAGGACCCAGCAACTGGGGTCGCCAGGGGTCGTCGCCGAGCTCCGACAGCAGAAAATCCGGCTCGAAGTTGGGGTGCAAAGATGTGGTCGTATGCACTGCTTCCTGCAAGAGCTGCACGAACACCTGGCCCCAACCCGAGCTGCCCACTGGGCGGGACGTAAAACCGCTGGCCAGAGCAGCCCAAGGCATGGAACGCGATGTCGTTTTGGTTCGCGTAGCACAACCCAGGACAGCAGATTCCACGGCATGAACCTTGGCTGGCGACGACCATAGAGCATCCGACCAGCGCAAACTAGCCAGAATGCAAGTCAGAAAAGCCCCACATTGCAAGCGTCGAGCGGGTGAGAGATTCACGTCCAGGATCTGAATCTCCAGCCAGATGACAAAAGACAGTGGTAGAGGAGCGGTCTCACGACGTTGAGTTGCCACCGCCGCGCGAGCATAAGAAGATACAGCCGAGGTTGCCAGTGCTGAAGCCAACGACAGAACCTCGAGGCGGCGTGCCACAAAGCGTAGGCCCTTAATCCAACCAACTGCCGATTGCGACGTACCCCGTGCATGCACCTGGAGGAAGTCGAGCAACACCCGCAGGCTGGGCGAAAACGGAGACTCTGATACGACCGCGCAGAAGGAGACCCACTGATCCCAGCAGTTGAAGTAGGCACTCAAAGTTGCAGGCGCATAAGATACGACCAGACGCACCACGTGTGTCTCACCCCCAGGCTGACGAAGAAGTTCCGAGACCACGTCACTGTCCTTGCGTGCAGAGCGAGCAATGCCCAACCACCGATCCAGCTGCGAATTGCGAGCATTGAGAAAAGCTTCCTGCATAGTCGAGACCGACCGAATGCCCAGATTCCCAAAGGGAGGAGCCGGCGGAAAGCAAGGGCTCGATGTTGGAAGCGTTCCCGAAGGTGGTGTAGTCCATGATGGCCGAAGATACGGTGACATAGAAGTCCGTAGCCGAGGACGCAGCACCGGAGCCGCGCAAGCATTTGTAGTAGTCGCCTGCAAAGGAGCTCGCACCCGTGGAAAAAGAAATGGGGCCCGACTCGGTGCTGCCACAGGGAGGCGAATCCGAATGGGACGGTAGGACTCCGAGAGCAAGCCATCCTGCCAGCGAGATGGTCGAGGCAGCATGATGTAGTCAGCAGGCGTACAGGACCACCATGCAAACTGGGAGAAGGATGGGGGACCACTAACATCCCGAAAACTAATGAAAACCCCCAAAACGGGCAGCGGAAAAGAAGCACGTGAACCGTTGCAGCAACAGGTGTGCAGAGAAGCCCTGATCGGGGACGTCGCAAACCTTTGGGAGCTGAAGCGCTGCACCGGATCACGGACTGTACAGGCCCGGAGGCATGTGGCCCTGACAGGCACAGGAGCCGTAGTATAAAAACCCCTTTGCAGAGGCCTAAACAACCCCAAGGAATCAACCTGAACCGAAAGCCGACGAAACCGGAGAAACCCTGAAGGGAAGGCCAACGGTGTGCATATGGAAAATTCGCACGCCGTGGCCGACCTCCGAATAAAGCTGCCTCGTCAAAAGAAAAAGCAGCCGCCGTCGAATCATGACCTAGGATCATCAGAGGAAGTGTCGCGAGGAGCTGTCATAGACTGCTGCAGTGCCGCCATTTGGGCCTCCAGACGTGAGAGCCGCGATGTCACTGAACTAGAAGCTGTGGAAGAGGACTCGGAAGCATTCACACCACCCAAAGCTGCTTCGAGGACGGCGATGCGGTAGGTGGTCCCCACGGCCCACGTATCTGGTGGAGGGTCGACAGGGCAGGGAGACAGAGGGATCCAACCAGCCAGGCCGTTCAAGAGCCGCTGATGGGTGTCAACCATCGCTGACAAGGCACGAACCTGATCTCGAAGGTCAGTAATCCAAGGAGCAGGAGGCACCACGGGAGCAATCGGATCGAAGCGAGTCGGCCCGCACAGCAAGCGCGCCTCCAACGACTCCAAAGCTGAGCCAAGGGCTGCACAGCAAGCGTCGGTCTCCTGCAATGCGAGGATGACGGCGACATCCAACGGCGGCATGCCCGAACCTTGCAGCAAAGGCAGAGGTGACTCGTAGACGAACTGGCGAAGATGGTTGAACCAAGCGCGTGCCGAACCACCAGCAGCAGGGAGAACGTCTCGAGCATGAAGCTGATTCTCCAATGCCTGTACCCGGAGGCGCAAGGAAGTGAGCTCATCCGGCATGCTGGGAGGAGCAGAAGCAGAAGGCAAAGCCGGCGATGTCGATGCCCTGAATGCCGGAATGTCATCATCACTGCTAAAGCTGACCACCGGATCGTCTGGTAGAGGGGCCTGATGTCGAAGGCAGACGTTGTGTCTCACATGGCGGCGCGAGCGAGGTGGCATGAAAGCGACTCACGCAACACTACTTAGACTCCGACAAGGCCACAACAGCAAATGTCCCCCAAGCCCTGAACAAGCGTGAAGGCAAAGCCATCCATCAACGGCTCCCTCACTGATCGAGCCAAGCCGAGCGCGGCAAGGCAACGCAAATGCACTGAGACATCAATGTGCCTTACTGCAAAGCTCAAGCGATGAGCAGCACGTCAAAAGCAAGGGTAGCATGGACGTGTCATCAGAACTTGCCAGCGTGGCCGGATGACAAGCAACCCAAGACCGCGACGGCAGTTTTTGCAATCCAGTGCACCAACTGAAAGGCTGGGTACCAAAACGCATCGCTGAAAAAATGCGACCTGTACAGAGTACCTGGTGTGAACTAAAGCCACAAGTTGCCCAACCATATCCAGCTGCCATACGGAGAGACAAGGAGCCAAAAGCCAGAACTGAGCGCAGCAAAATCCCAGCCGATGTCGAGGTTCGCCAGGAAGAGAACTTAAGATAGGCGACGTCGAGCACGTGGTGGGCTGCCAGATGCCGATGAAGGACGTTCTGGGACCACAGGAGCTGAGTCATCGCCCTGACATACAACCGCATCTGCACCGGAAGCAGGCGCTGCAGCCGGCAGTGGGCAATCATCAAGTTCCCGAAGATGACACATGAAGCGAGCAAACACCTGCAGAAGAACCTGTATTGGCCAAGGTGCGCCAGGAAGATTCGAATCTTGCACTGGAAGAGGCACCTCCCGCAGTCGAGTGTACAAATAATTGCAAACCTCCAGAGCAGCAGGATGATGAAGTGTCAACCCCGAGAGTGCAGTACGAAAAGGCGTCTGAAAAAGCGCCGCGGCCTCCGTATGACTCTGCAAGAGATCCACCAGGTGATCAGCCAGCTCAAAGTCCGGAGATGGTACCAGGGCAGAAGCTGCATCCTGCGACTGTGGTTGCGAGGCCACGCCAGCATCAGCATCAGGCCCGCAGTCAGCTTCCAGGGAGCCAGCAGCGGGTTGAGCAACGAGGGATGAAGCCGACGACGGAAAATCCTGCTCGGCCCTGGACCACGCATCTAACGCCGGGTGCTGCACAGCTGGTGGGAGAGCCACCGTCTCCGGCCAAAGGCGGCGACGCCTCCGCGTGACCCCAGCGGTGACCAAAAGGAAGCCATGGCACAAGAGAAGCACTAGAGAAAGTGCTCGCATGTGTCAACTAAGACAAAATGCGAGGTCGAGACCTGCCGGTCCCAATCGAGCAAGAAACTGCCGGACCAAAAAGATTGGAAAACATGCCAAGCAAAATGTGGAATCCTCAAGAGAAAATCTTCATGTCATGCATCGCAAGAAATTCTCAAGAGGAAAACAAAAGCTAGGCATGCCGGCCGGGCAGGGCGGGGGGGGGGAAACACCCTGGTTTAAAACCGTGTCCGTGCCTAGCAGCAGTTTGAGCCTTGTGCTCGGGCAGCTGGAGTCTGTGCAAACAAGCGAAGAGGAGCAGGAGAGCAGGAGAGAAGAAGGAGAAGAGGAGAGAGGACTGGGAGAGAAGTGGCTGCATCCTCACTGTCTCTTCCGGTGGCGAACTCAAGGAATGGGGCATGGCCCTTAACTGCAATAACCATGCTGCACATGAAGCGGGTTCTGTATTGCCAGCTTTCCAGAATCCCAAACAGACGCTCATAGTGCACACTCAAAGGGATTTTGTGATGTCCGCGCTATTGCTTTGGGTCTGTTGAAAGAATTAAAAGTGGAAAGAAGGGCTGAAAAAATGGCTGCCAGTCTCTGGCAGTGCCAGAAGCTTCGGCCTTGCCGGGGCCTTAGCTGAGCAACAAGCAGTGCTTTAAGCAGCGTGCTGGGACAGTGTCCCATGGTAGCTCTGACAGTGTCAGACTGAGAGGGTGCTGGATCTTCTGTGTTGGGGTGGCTCATCCTTGCTCAGACGTGATCGGCAAGCCTCTGGCCTTCCGCGAGAGAGTTCCGGGCGGTCGCCGGCCGAGGAGTTCGCCGCCTTGAAGCTGCATGGCGCTCACGTAGATGCTGGCATGCTTCTGCAGCGTGCCCATGAGGTGGGGCTGAAATTCTATCAGAACATCTGTTTTTCTTGCTGTCAGCCTAGCTGAACAGTGCACCAGCTCTTGTTCGAGAATGGGGTTCGGTGGTGCTTTCTTGGTCAGGTCAGAGAGGACGTCCATAAATGTTGACCAGGCATTCTGGTTGACACCGTTTGGCATCTGTGACTCCTGCAGTTCTGACAGTAGCTGGTGGGCCACTGTCACATAGATTGGCCCCTTAGGATGTGGCCTGCCTCGGGTATGCTCTCGCCTCCACTGCGCTGTTGCTTCGAGTAGCTTAGACGCTAGTGGTGCTGAGGCTGTCATCTTGATCACCAGCGTGCTTTGGTGACTACTACTACTACTACTACTACTACTACTACTACTACTACTACTACTACTACTACTACTACTACTACTACTACTACTACTACTACTACTACTACTACTACTACTACTACTACTACTACTACTACTACTACTACTACTACTACTACTACTACTACTACTACTACTACTACTACTACTACTACTACTACTACTACTACTCGAACTACTACTGCAACTACTATTACAACTATTACCGTAAGAAGAGTAATGCAAATACTCGTACTGGTCGTTAGAGCAGTAGCAGCTACAGGTAGATAAGCCTAACATATACCACAAAAAGTTAACATCCTAAGTGGCCAGCAAAAGGCCGGCAAGGAACCCCTTAAACAAAAACTCAACTGAACGCTAACCCATGCTTTACAAACACAAGAGGGTACGAAAAAAAAAATGTTGTCAGGCAATGTTTATTGTGGGGCCTAGAGCGGGCCCTCGTCCGCACCCTGCTCCGAAAGCCGCTCTCCGCACGCTCCGCAACCCGTCCAGAGCCTGCTCCAGAGCCTGCTCCAGAACTTAACTTGCTCCTGAACGTGCTCCAACAATTGCAGCCCGCTCGAACCTGCTCCAAAGCCAGCTGCCGGAACCCGTGCCCAGCACCCCCCACCCTCAACCTTTCAAAGACCCATCAACATCTCCGCACTCCCCCTGTCCCAGGTTTCTTGGGACACCTTTGGAGATGCCTACTTTGGCCAAAAACTGCACGATTGGCAGCAGCCAAATCCTTTTCAGACCTCTTTGGGTGGTCCGTAGCCATGCTACCTAACCTCCACCTTCGAGGATACTCAATATGATTTCCTCGATCTCGACGACACCACCATGGGAGCAGGCATTGCTGGGAGCATCTCGCACGTCGCTTCTGATCGATACGGTAAAACAGCTCAAACAACGTCAACCATATAAGGAATATCCCCGATAACCTTTAAAGGAATAATTATTCCGTCTGACACAAGGATCGGATTTCTCTTCGGAAGCCAATGATATGAATATCCCTCTCTCATATCGTACCTCGATTCGCGGTGTTGAACTTGACGGTCTTTTTCTTCTCGGCAAGATCATACTCTTCGCTCACAGGTCTTCCCGTGAAATAAAGTCGATAGCACAGCCTGAATCTATCGTCCATTTGCTGACTGTTGGCCCAAGAGCGGGTGCAGCAAGCGGGTTGGGCTTTGAGCCAGCTTTTTACCCTTGCAGCGAACGACTCTCAGTTATCCCAAGTTTCTTACACTCGTTGATTACTGCATCTGCTATCCTGTCATAGTACGTCATAGAAGTTCTCCTCGTTACCAGCTTGACTGACTTCGTTATCCAGCGCGACCTCTTCTTCGAGAGATATTGCTCTAAGCGGTGCTTTCGCCTCTCTACTGCACCAACTCAAACGATCTTTACCAGGTTTCCCCGATAGAGGGTAACGACCAACCCAGACCTTCCCCATCCATCCCCATGCCGACCTGAGACCTTCTTCGTCTTTCTCAAAGCGCCGTTCTTCTCAAAGCCATTCGGCATCAAAATGCCCTTCTTTATGTCCGGTTGATCAAATTCATCCCCAATCATCTTCGCCGGCATAGCAGGCATCATTACACTGTCAAGACCACCTGACACCGCATCGGCTCGACCCTACCCAAAACTCCTCCCGTGACTCTGGAAGGTGCTATATCTGAATGTGACTAGAAGCTCTGACTTCCGACTGCTCAGGGAACTGGTCCCCGATCTCCTGCGGGGGCTTTTCGTGCATGTAGGAGCATCTCTCTTTCTTGCAACGGCCGTATCTGAAGAACTCATAGTCATAACAATATCCCGCATCTTTCAATATCCTCTCCGCGCTCGCACACAGGTATATGTCACGCGAGTCCCACAGTCAATCGCGGTGTTTGGGCATGTTCCTCTCGCTTTTTCTCCAGCAGCGAAGCTAGCATCAGCGTAAGACTCAACAACGTTTATTCTCCGCCAACATCGATGGAGTTCATTTCTCTCCCTCGCGCACGAAATGCCCGAGTAGGAGCGGCGGCCAAATATCTGAAGACCTCTTCTGCCGACTTCTGCCTTATTCACCACAAACCGTGGTCTTCGCGACGTCCACAATGACAGCTGGCTTGCACAGGATGCCAAGTCTGGCCTCGTCTTAAGCGCAACCCAACAATCACCGCGAAAAGGAATATGCCCCCGCAGGCAATGATCACGGAACGCTCGCGGTGAATTTTGTCTACGCGATCTTCTTTTCCTGAAATTCCAGTGTGGCAGTCATCCGCTCGGCAGTAACCATTTCATCAACCTGTTGCGTATACGTCTCACCAGTCCTGCGGCCCATCGCGCCTATACCTGTGACTGACTAACACGCTCCTCTAGAGTTGGCGCAAACATCGCAGACCAAGGAACAACCACACGTACTTGTTCTAAGGTTTCCAATAAACCATCATCACACACTAATAAAGTTGTCGGTTTGACCAGCGTGTGTCCCAACGCTCTCCAGGATTCGAACCTCTAGGATCACCCACACTAAACCCAGCACCATCCTTCTATGGACACTGAGGTTGAATATGGCCGTTTTTGCTTAGCTTGTAAAGTGAATGAACTTTGGGATATGT